TTCGGAAAAATTGAACGAAACGACAGCCGTCGGATGGGATCAGCAAAGTGGTGTTTGGTGGTCAGGTTACTGACGAAGAAGTTGAGAGCTTGAATAAAAGGTTTGAGATCTAGCTGATTTTCATCCATTTTTGTTCATTATTATTCTTTGTTGGCTTGTGTTTTTGTGTGTGCTTTGTTTGTGTTTGTGAGGACCTTGTTGAATCAAAGCTTTTTTTTTCCTTTTTTTTTATTTAAGATCTAATTTTGCATTTTATTGAAGAAATTTGTGGTGCATTCAGATCTACAAAAGATTCCATTTTTTTTAATTAGAAAACCAGAAATCAATTATTTTGCTAATTCAATGAGGTCAATTCTTCTGGCTTCTTGGTATCTCATATTACAAGATCTTGTCACTTAATTTATTTAATTTGGGGTCCTGCATATTTATTGTTAGATCACTCCTAAATCATGAAATATCTTGGTATCTTCTATTTTTAAATCGAATCAATTTTAATCGTTTTATTTTAAATAATTATGTTAATACAAACTTAAAATCCTACAAGCTCTCGTTGACAAAAAAAAAAAGCAATCAAATAATCATTAAGTTGTTTTGGCATGGTGATTGATTTAATACCATAACGAATTTCCCTGTCTTTTTTTTTCCTTTCGAAAACTGCTGACTAGTATAGCAATTGAACGTTGTAGAAAACCGTGCTCGGGCTATAAAATGAAGGAAATGACTGGCAGTGGTATTTTCAAACCAAAAGGAGAAAATGGTGCATCAGAATCTGAGGACGACAGCCAAACCCCAGCAAACAAAACCGGGCTGCGCATGTACCAGGTACTTATTTGCTCAAACATTCACTTTTTACTCATCTCATCACCAGATGATTACAAAAACCACAACTTTTTTTGATGGTGTGAAATATCCCAGCAAGCATTGGCGGGTGTGAGTCACATATCGTTTGCCGAAGAAGAAACTGTTTCTCTCAAGAAACCAACTACTCTTCCTGAAGTTGCAAAACAGAGGGAGCTGAGTGGGAATCTGGAAAGTGAATACGAAGCAAAGTTGAAGAAACAAATTTCTGATGCCAAGAACAAGGAGCTCAGTGGCCACAATATATTTGCTCCACCCCCTGAAATTCAACCCCGCCCTTTGTCTGCTCGGGCTTTGGCATTAAGAGAAAGTATCACCATTGGGGAACCCACATCTCATAATGTAAGTGGCTAACCCCTCGCTTCTTAATCCATATCTATCTATCTATATATGACATGTTTCTGATGGATAAGTTGAATTCACCTCGAAGATCTTTCTTGCACTTTGTATATGCAATGGTTTTTTTCTGAAGCATTGTTGTATTGTTTTACCTGAAAACCTGTGGATAGTTTTGTAATT